CGAGGGCGAGCGGAGGGGAGGGGCCTGGTCCGGCCCGGCCGGTGCGCGAGGACTGGGGCCCCGGCCCGGCACCGCCGCCGCCGCCGCGATGGCCCAGCAGCAGATGACCAGCTCGCAGAAGGCCCTGATGCTCGAGCTGAAATCCCTACAGGAGGAACCGGTGGAGGGCTTCCGGATCACCCTGGTGGATGAGTCCGACCTCTACAACTGGGAGGTGGCCATCTTCGGACCCCCCAACACCCTCTACGAAGGCGGCTACTTCAAGGTACCCTCACCCCCTCCTGGACCCGGCTTTCCCCGCCGAGGCCTCGGTTCCTCCCCGCGTTGGACAGTTTTCGGGGCGGAGAGTGTGAGCGCGGGTGCGTGGAGGGGGCTTCTCGCCTCGTAGCCCCCTCCCCCATCCGTGGAGGCAGGAAGGCCTTGCTCACCAAGTGCCTTTTCTTTGTCATGGGGCGGGGGCGGGAGGCCAGACTGCACCGGGAAATAGGAAAGTCTCTCCGGCTGGGGTAGTGGCTACAGGGGAAGGAGGGCTGTCTTTGTTTCCCCAGCTGAGGGTGTGTGGAAAGAGGTGGTCTTTCTTTTCTTGCTCTCCCATTAGAGCTCTCCCTGCGCAGGCTGGAACTGCCCCAGAGGGCAGGGTGACCTGCACTTATTGGATTGGACTTTTCTTTTTTGGGGGGTGGGGGGTGGGGGGAGGGGAATTAGCCTGTCATTCCAGAGGCTGCCAGTGCCCTGACATTTTGAGGTTTCATTGGGCTTCTTGGATAGTGGTAGTTCCAACTTTGCATTCCAGTGTGCTGTAATAAAGGACCCTAGGGGTGGTTTAAAAAAGAGGTGCTTGCGTTGTCTTGCCATTTATCCACTTGAAGGAACTTTAGCCTTCTTTCTGTCCTCATTCTCCATTTACCTCAGTCAGTGCTTCTTTAAAAACGCCCTTTGTCCTCACCCCGCCATCAAGTTTACTAGCATTTTTTTTCTTCATGTAGAAACACCCACAAAGGGTGGAACGTGTCTTGAGAGGAGATTGATAGTTTCCCACTTTAGGGAAACAAAATGGAAAGATTTTGCTCAGGTAGAACTCGAGCGAGTGGAGTCATTTCACAGATGAAAAGTATCGCAGGTGAGATGGTTTTCTCTGGGTGGGATGGCTCCTTAGAGACCATAGACATTGTTTCTATTGTTTCCTGTGATTTTAGAACAGTGCTTCCAAAATTATTCTGGAATCCAAAGTATTTTTCTAAAAACTCCAAGGTAGATGACTTGGAGGTAGTTTTTCTTTTGTTTTGGGTTTAGCATTTTTGCAGGGAGGAATCCCAAATTGAGGATTTGAATTTTTAAATTTTGATGGCAAGACAGAAGAAATGAGTACTTAGGAATCCATTTTATTTTATTTTTTTATTTCCAAAATTAAGTGAAATAGGCCAGTGAGTCAGTTTTAGTTTGTTTTGAAGGGAGGGGTTATCTTGGCACAGGTTTTAAATGAGTATCTTAGTCATGTAGTTGTGATGTGTATTTTTAGGACTTAACCAATTACTTAACTCTTGTTTTCTACCCTTCTCTAAAGGTATAAGCTTTAGTTTCAGGCTTTAAATTGGGTCAACTTTGTAGAAGATAGTATTGATATGGAACTGTTTAATAGTGACACCATGATACTAGGAACACCTAGTAAAAAACACATTTTTAGAATATTATGTAACAGTGATATTCCTACCGTTTGCTTCATTTTTTTGAATATAAATTACACTTTATGTATGTGTGTATATTTGTCAACACATGCTATATTTTTCAGATGCAGGAATTTAAAATTACTAAGTAAAGGTGCAAGTTATTAGTGGCAAATGGAAAAGGTATTGCATTGTTCATGTTGAGGTACACTCTACTTTTTTAAAAAAAATTTTTAGTTGTTGATGGACATTTATTTTATTTATAAAATAAATTGAATTTATTTTATTTATAAAATAAATTGAGAATTGAACCCAGTGCCTCACGCATGCTAGTCAAGCACACTACCACTGAGCCCCAGCCCCAGCCCCATACACTATACTTTTAAATATAAATTTTTATTTATAGATATTGGAAATATTTTTGCACAAAACGGAATTTTTTTTATAAAAGCATTTTTAGCAAAATATTATTTAACTTCAATGGATAAAGTTTTAACCTTTAAAAAGTCTTTGGAATAACTGATGGTTAAGGCAAATGAGTACTAGTTAGAATAATCTTACTCCAATACAATTTTGTTAAAAAAAAAAAAAAAACAGTGAAAGAAAATAATGGGTTGCAAATTGTAGTGTGGTTAAAAAAAAACCTCACAATTTGGGGCTGGGTTATAGCTCAGTTGGTAGAGTGCTTGCATTGCATGCACAAGGCTGCAGGTTCAATCCCCAGCACCACACACAAAAAAAAACCCACAATTTGGAATTGGTAGTATGCAAGGGTTCCTTGTAGCATACACACTGATTTAAAACAAAGGCTTTTTAATTTCAGTCCTGTTAAAAATAATGGCTTGAGGGGCTGGGGATGTGGCTCAAGCAGTAGCTCGCTCGCCTGGCATGCATAGGGCCCTGGTTTGATCCTCACCACCACATACAAACAAAGATGTTGTGTCCGCTGAAAACTAAAAAATAAATATTAAAAAAAAAAAAAAGAATGGCTTGAACTGGGGTTGTGGCTCAGTGGTAGAGCACTAACACTGGGTTTGATTCTCAGC